ATTTAACTGACGGAAGGACCATTTTGGTACCAAAAATGAAAGTTTAAGGATAATTTTGGTACTTTTTAAAGGTGAAGGACAATTTTGGTACCAAAGTGATAAGTTGAGGGACTAAAATGGTACTTAAACCATATTAATATTTTAAAATTTTAAAATTTCGCTCACTATCCAGGAGTGTGACTCCACCCTCTTGTTCATAACTTTGTCAGAAAATTGGCCCATCACCCCATTTAATAAACCCACCAAGTCAAGAGCCCAAAACCCATAAAAGAAAAGGTTATTGGGAAAGGGCACTTCATAGAATGTCTGATAAGGGTTTAAATTCTTATTTTTGCTCTTTATTTTTTTCTCTTGAAACTTTCAACTAGTTAGCATATTATAAAATAAAAAATAATAAAAATAAAAACAAAGATATCCTCAAGGACAATTGTAACTGAATGTCAATTATTTTTGAGACTCCTAAAATTAATTAGGATAGCATTGCTGAGCATATAGTTTCTTTATTAGACTGGTACAAGTTTGACTTCCTTTTTGGTCTTATGGCAGTGAGAGATTAAGATAATGAGTGGAGTTAGATTTTTTTTCCTTACGCAAGTAAATGGTGGTGGGTATTTTTTCTTTTCCGACAGGGCTTTTGCAAATAAATGGAGTTAGAAATTTTTTCTTTTCGGAGACTGCTCACTCCAAAAAGCAATTTATGTTATGTAATTATATACTAATAATTTTTATATAATTTTTACATAAAAATTAAATTAATAAATATATAGAATATTATCATTTTTATTAAAAATAAAAAAATATTAAGTAATATATAAAATTATATTAAAAATTTATATATATATATATATATATAAAACTTAACTTCCAATCACTTTATATATTCAAATAATCACTAAATAACCAAATAATCAAGGCTTAATGCCACCAAAACTCCTTCAATTTTACAGAAAGAGTCATTGTCATCCTTCTACTTTAAGACAATTCATAATGATCCCTCAACCTTAGATAAAGGCCAACCGTTAAAAATAATCCTCCGTTAAAATCCTCCAAATTAAATGATAAAATAACATAGTTGACCCCTTAACTTTAGTTCTTATGCATTTTGATCCTCAAAATTCAAATTTATTCAATTTAATCTCAATGTCAACTTTTTTTACAATTTAGCTCCCTAACTTTTGAAAGACATGCACTTAAATCCAAAGAAGTCGTTACTATAACGGTACAAGGTTTGATTATGTTCCGGTCAAATTTCGAGCATTTCAATTAAATTTCGATGTATTGATCGATATTATATGTACTAGCTAGTACACTGAAATATAACCAATAAGCAATAGCTAAAATTTAATAAAAAGAAGAAGAAGAAGAATCTCCAAGCCAAAATGATGTCATTTTGGTTATGGGGCTTAAGAACCCTTTCTAGTTTCGCATTCAAGTTTGACAACTTGAGCAACTGAACCTAAAAACTGAAATTTCTTCATATCAGAATCAGATCACATGTGCTTGTTTCAAACAACACACGAGTAAAATGGATTGTCAAAGAAGTAAAACAGATTAGCTTGAGAACTAGGGATTGAGAGCTCTCAACGATGCTAGAGAATGAGAGAATTAGGGTTTTTTAGATAAAACACAAATTAAAAGGAAAAGACAGCTCCTGAGCTTGGGCAGAGCAAACCTTTGATTTTAAGGTTTCGAAGGGCAAGGAGCAAAATCACAGAGGAAGGAAGAATGGGAAAGGGAGGGAGGGGTACTGGGATTTTGCTATGTATTATAAAAGCATTAAAATGACATCATGCCTTAAAATGCGCACTCTGAAGAGTTGAACTTCATATTACACCCCAATTTAGTGGATAAGGCCCAATAATGAAACTTTTATGCTTTTTTATCACTCACCTAAAATTATATAGGAAAAGAAAAAATTAGAATATTGTGATATTATGGGTGTTTTATAAAGTTGGTCATTTTAAATTTGTTTTTAATTTATAGGAATATGATAGTTTAAATATTAGTTTTTCTTATTATTATTTTAATTTTTGATATTTAATTTATAAAATATATATTTATAGCGATAAATTTGAAATAGTACACAAAAAAATTTTACCATCCAATATGTATCATTTCAATAACAAAACCAGTACACATGCCAATACAGTATTAACTCCCTTGCTTAAATCTCAAAATTTCTAATATCATGCATTTCAATCCTTTTTTCATAGTTAATAAAAATTATGTAACTTTCAATAAAATCACATTTAAATATTCAATTTGTTCAAATACTAAAGAAATCAAGCATTAAACAATAAATTAAAACATATAACATTATATAATTAAAATGTAAAATCAAATCTTTCATACCCACTTGTCCCACAAATATCTTTGTACTCAATTTTGAAATCCTTTTGAAATCCTGTAAAGTGATATAATCAAAATGGTGAAACTATAAAGGATGTGCATATGACTTATAAGTGGGGTGTAAATGTGGTTGTGCAAACATTATGGACTAAAGATGGCTTTGAAACATCATGGACTAATGATGGCTTTGAATGATGTTTGTATGGTTATGAATGTATAACAATGAAAAAAAGCAAGTATTTCTTAATTATCCTTTTTTTATTATAATATTGTTCCTTTTTTCTTTCCATGATATGAGCTATGTGTATATAGTTAACTAAATATCCTTTCTTTATTTTTAAGGACCTCACATTGAACATTAAAAATGTGATTTTTCACTTTATTTAGATCAATTATATATATAATTTTACTATTTTTGTTGTAATACTTCATAGGATTTTAAATTGAGTATTAAAGATATTTTTTGGACAAGTAAATATTAAAGACTTGATTCTACATTTTAATTATATAATCTAATATGTTTTAGTTTACTATTTAATGCTTGATTTGATTAATATTTGAACAACTTGAATACTTAAATGTGAGTTTATTGAGGTTAATCAATTTCATCATTTGCGAAAAAAGGATTGAAATGCATGAAATTAAAAGGTTTGAGATTTAAATATATGTCTTTCAAACGTTTGGGGACTAAATTGTAAAAAAGTTGACATAAGAATTAAATTGAATAAATTTGAATTTTGAGGATCAAAGGGCACAGGAACTGAAGATAAGGGGTAAACTATATTAGTTTACCATAAAATTTGGAGGATTTTAATGATGGATTGACGGTGTTATAA